GGCGAGCGGGCAGAGAAGTAACGTTACTTCTGCGGCTCCTACTGCTGCGGTCAGAAGTACGATTAAGAGACCCCGGAATTCCAGAAACATGATTGTGGCTGCGCTTGAGCAGAGCCCGGAATTCAGAGGGACTTGCCTGCTCTACTGTCCTTTTTCTTTCCTGGCGGTAGTCTAATTAATCTTTTATTGGTTTACATGTCAAATTTCCCATCGATATTTATATGAATCACGTATACAAAATGTGAGCGAAGTCTATACCCGCTTTGTGGCATTTGTAGACAAAGCAAATGCCACAAGCAATCAAAATAACATTTGTTTGGTTTCTGAAATAGTGCTGAAGGTGCTTTGCCGCCTTTGTCCAATTCATACCTAGCACCCCAAAAAAGCCAATCCTCTGCTGCAGTGTATCAAATTATACATTTCAGTGCCTAAACAACTGTAATAGCCTCTAAATAGCAAATTCAATGTAGATGAGTGAAGAGCCAGCTTATTAACAATACATTCATGCACCGAGATGACTGAAGATAAGAGATGAAGGAAAAAAATCTAAAGCTCAGCAGTAATGCATTCCTGGAGGGAAAACATAGGAAATCATATTCTCCTCTTGATAGTTTCCTGTGTCAAAATACAATCCAGGCACTTCCTAGCACTCAGTTAATCAGTGAAATAGTAAAATTCGAGATCGCTCTGGTATGCATGTAGGAAGAAAAAAGAGAATCCTATGTTCCCTAGACGTTTTTGAACCAAGGGCATAGCAAATGCATCACTATTGTAAATAAAGAGAGGCTATCAGCTAGGCTACTTTAAAAACAGAATACAAGTCATGCCATATAAGAAGCTTTTTATGTCCTGTACTTTTTGACTTCTCTGGAAAAAACACCCCCTCCCTCAAGCCAAATTGCATGCCGCCTTTCAAAAATCTGTTTGGAGCTGTTCATTCAGTCATAAAGGAATTAATGTTGGAAGGTCATGTTCAGCACGGATTTCCACTGTATTGCATCCTTCTTGCCTTTTTTTCTAACGACTTGGCTAAAGCCATGATATCATTTCCTCTCTAAGAGATCTGCAAATGGAAATCTGTTCCTGTTAAACTGTCAGCAGAACAGCAGTTGTCCAGCAACAGGAACAGCAGTTTCTTAATAGTTATTCCTAGCAGGTGAAATTATCTGTCTGGAGTTGACTCACATTTTTTCACTTTTCTACATTTTAATTTTATAAATCCCTACCCAACTTGAATGAGCCTTAATTTTCTTTCATCTAATGCATGCCATTTATTCTCTTTCAAAATAAATGGATTTACAGTAGTTTTATTTATTTTCCATTTTGACATATTGTTCTAACTCTGCTTCATCATATGTAAACTTCCTAAGCTGCATGCAGAACGGTTAAGTGTATCTTAAGATCTATGTAGAAAGATTACCCTTCCTTCTTCCCTTATAAAAATTGCCGAGTTTTGTCAGACAGATTTAAAATAAGGGAAAAAGCTGAGCAACCATTTACTTATGAAGAAAGTCACATTTAAATGGTATGTGCTCAGATTTCAAAACAGTCCTTTGCTTTAGTGGTACCCAAATACAACTTTCTGAATGTTCTAATTAGTAATTGTTTTACAACACCTTGCACAAGGCATCCTCAAGTATTTTAGACTCTGCAGACATTATAGGCCAGTTTTACTACTTCTCTGCACTTAGTGCAGTTACTAATATCTTAGGAGATAGACTATAAAATGACATTCTTGTGACGTGGTATCTGATTCGGTATCAAATGAGAATACCAGTATTTGATGCAAGATGCTGAGGCCCAGTGCCGTGTCACGGAGCGTAGCTACACAAGACCAAAGAGGCAGTCGTGGAAGCAGTCGCACTAACGTGTGGCAAAGGAATACGACTGTGTCCGTAGTTATGGCAGCGGGGGCACTGCACAGGCAAGTCCGGGTGCGGGCGGACACACATGCCTGTTTTGGCTGAGACGTACCAGGGATGAGCGCCCAAACGCGGCGGTTGGCAAACCTGACGGTAGGGGATTGTAGAGGCACAGTTGTGCTCAGGTGCAGCAACGAGGAGAAGGAGGCAGGCACAAACGGAGATGCGGAAATGGTGTTATCAGGAAACCCAGAGAGGGTTGCACTAAGAGTGTCAGAAGGGGGATACAGCTGCAGTTCAGTTGCACGGAGGAAGGCCAAAGGCAGGGGAGCGCACAAGGTGTGTGAGACAGCTGTGGTCAGACTTTGCCTAGGAATCAGCGAGTCACAGCTTTGGGTTATGATGGCAGAGTATGGGCAGTGCTACGAACTACAGCCAGGTGAAGGAGGGGGCGCAGAGCTCGCTGCGAGGGGAAATTCATGCAGACAGGCTCTGACTCTCACGGGAGCACACAAATAGATCTGCCCTGCAGCACATCAACGGATAGGATACAAAGGCATCGACAAGGGTGCAGAAAACAATGCACGTTCAGTACACGAGTGTATTGACATGGCACTGTATGGCACTTCACATACGTAAGGTCACCCCTGCAATCCTGGTGATATGACTTAGGCAACTGTCCGATGATAATAACTGAGCTCGTTACTGAAGGTCGCCAGTGTAACGGCTTTGGACGGGACCCGCAGAGGCTGTCCGGCCCAGCTCTGCTCCAAAACGTCGTTTCTGGGAGATGTCTGTGCTCCTGTTCTTAGAGACATCAGCTGAAGCACGTATAATCCCCTAAGCAATCCATCCCAATACCTGTATTGTCATTTTACTATTAGAGATGTCAGCCTAAACTGTCCTGGTTGCAATTTCAGCCTCTTCTTCAGCCTCTTCTATCCCAGTGTGGGAACAGATTATTCTCCTTCTCTTCACAACCATGTTTTTACGTTCATGCACAGTTCTGCCACGTCCCCTTTTGTCTTCTCTTCGCGAAGACACTCAGCGCGTCCAACTTCTCCTCACCAGTCACGTTTTCCAGACCTCAGGTCGCTCCCCGCGCCCGCCCCGTCTC